CACGATATCGTCGCCACCAGTCAATGATTTCTGCACATTTTTTTCCATTAACGTTTTACCCTTGGCTAAAATTTTTCAAAAACACTTTTGTATGACTTGCCAACGTTGGTCTGTTTATACTCGCTTTGACATAAATAAATATTCCCTAAGGATTATATCATCAGGGAATGATTTCAGCTGTAGAAGAGTAAATGATCGGCACATTTACGTTTTTTGGAAACTTTTACCGTTCTCTAAAATTTTGGAAAAGCCCTACAATGTCTTCTCGACGTTGGTCCGTTTATACTCGCTTTTAAATGAATCAGTTTATTCTGGGCCTACGTCATAATAAGTGAAGTATGTCAGCAAAAGGAGATTATCTGGTCCGCACATTCTCGTTTTTCAGTATCTTTCCAGTTTTGAATAAAATTTTGGAAATATGCTGTGAACTGTATGATCCGTATTTACTCGCTTTTACATAAATAGCTTTATCTTAGAAACTATATCGCCATAAATTAATTATTTAAGCTTAGCTGTATGAATCACTTTATCCTAGACAATACATCGTCATCAGTCAATGATTTCAGGAGTAGAAGAGTATCTAGTCTGGACATCTATATTTTTCAGTAAGTTTTTACCCTTAGGGGAAATTTTACAAAAGCACATTGAAATATCTTCTGGACGTTGGCCCGTTTATACTCGCTTTTAAGTTTATCCTAGACCCTACATCGTCATCATCAGTGAATGGCCGTCCCTTTTACATAAATAAATATACTTTAGGCACTATAGCATCATCATCAGCGAATGATTTCAACAGTAAAAGCGTATCTGGTCCGCACATTTACGTTTTACCGTTGGCTAAAATTTTGGAAAAGCACATTGAAATATCTTCTGGACGTTGGTCCGTTTATACTCGCTTTTGGATGAATAACTTTATCCTATATACTACATCGTCATCATCACTGAAAGATTTCAACAATAGAAGAGTATCTGGTTCATTCTCGGTTTTCATTTAGGATAAAATTTTCTAAATCCACATTGAAATGTCTTGTCGTCAATTTGGTCCGTTTATGAGCTCAGTCAATGTTTTGAGCATATGGGTATAAAAATATTATCGCAAATACGTGTGACATGTGGACGACGGTCCGTTTATTCTCGTTTTTAATAATGATTGATCCTCTTCACATTACATCATCATGATTCAATGATTTCAGCATGTTAGTTGAATATCAGGTCCACACATTCTCGCTTTTACATCGGGGTCGGTCAATGAATTAAGATAACATTAAGGGGAATATATGAACTTCTCAATCCCGCTTTTCTGATTCGTTTCAGCTCCAACTTTGCGAATATGCTACGAAATTTCTTGAGCTGTTCCGTATATTCTCGCCTTTACAATGTCATCACTCATCAGTTAATGAATTCACCAGGTTAATCGAATATCTGTCGCGTTCATTCTCGATTTTCAGGACCATTTCACCTCAGGAGGAAATTTAGAAAAACAACTGTCAATGGTCTTGTTGATGTTAGTCCGTATATTTCCGCTTTTACAAAAGCGTAACGGTAGCGATATTTTGAATTCTGGCATTCAGAATTGTTTGACAATGGCTTCAAAGTGACTTTTCTATGCTGGTCCGTTTGTACTAGATTTTTACATACATAACTATTCCCTAGATTTTCCAATAGATGATTTCAACAGATTATGGCAGCACCTGGTCTGCATATTCTTGCTTTTTAGATTTGTTTCATCTTTGGAGGAAGTTTTTCAAATAAACTGCCATGTGTCTTCTCGACGTTGGTCCATATATTTTCACATCAAGGTACATAGTTATTCCTCAGGCACTATGTGATATCAAACAATAATTTCAGCAGAATAGATGAGTTTCTGTTAGGCTCATTTTCCCTTTTAAGGATGGTATATTATTCTTGCTTTTACAAAAGTCTATTTTAGAGTCTTAAGTGGTTGTAAAAGACTAGTCTTCAGCATGGTATCTGATGATCCGCATATTTCGCATGCATGCATTTCAAGATCGTTCGGCAATGAAGCTGTACAAATACGAGTGCCCGTCGTCGCTGGTCCGCTCGTTTTCGCTTTTCGAAATCATTTCGTTCCTGGCTAAGCAATTCGCAAACCGCTTTGAATTGTCTTGCCGAGGTTGGGCGGTATATCCTTGCTTTTACATCAACAAATCTACCCTAAAACCTAAATCTACATCGTCAATGGTATCATCAGGTTAATAGGATACCTGGTTTGCCCATTCTCGCTCGTTCGAAACGATTCAATCAACGTACTAAAGATGTGGTGATTAGCGACCGATAATTATTCAGAAATCAAGATAAGAAGACAAACACCCTGAAGATGATCTCAATAAAGATCGAAACGTTGGCACGATAAAGAAAATATTTTTCTGAAACCTACATCACACCAGACCGCATCTCACGATTTCTGAATAAAGACTAAAGATGTACAAATACGGTTCAGTACAAATGAACAAATATGGTCAGAAAATATATCTGCCTTGTCGTCTGTGGTCTACATTCTCGTTTTTCAGAAACGGTGCGCCTTTGCTACAAATTCTTGCAATTATGATTGAGTGCTGCGATGTCAGTGGTATATTCTGCCGTTTACATGTACGATGGTATTGACCGCAATATGGCAAGATTCCTACATCATCATCAATCAATGGTTTCAGAAGAAGTTAAATATCTGGTCTGCTCATTCTTGTTTTTCCGCATTGATTCAATCGAGGCACTAAAGCTGTACAAATAAAGTCAAAAATAAGTCTGTCTTGTCGTAGCTGGTCCGCACATTCTAGCTTTTAAGTGATATCTTATCCAGGTGGCAAAATCTTGTAAATTCAACACTCTTCAAGTCAGTTTCATTCGTTCGTTTTTTTAGAATCCTCCTTAACTGACATTTTCCAAAGTGTGTGTCTTGTCGACATCGGTCCGTATATTCTCGCTTTTGCAAAACTGTTACGGTAGTTCATAAAGCAGATGCTTGCTAGGAAAATTTCGGATTCCCATATTTCGCATTCTTGTATTTATGAATCGTTCTCCAACGGTTCAAAATTTGACAAATTTTTGGCATTGGAAGTGACTTGGGGCTGGTCCGTATATTTTCGCTTTTATACAAATAACATTAATTTAAAACGTAAATCATCATCAATCAATGGTCTATCTTATCTGATCAGATCATTCTCACTTTTCTGAAACAATCCAATCAAGGTACAAACACGGACAAATATGTCTGCCTTTTCGCCTGTGGTCCGCACATTCTCGCTGTTAAGAATCATTTCGTTCCTGGGTAAATTTTGCAAATAAGCTTTGAAGTGTCTTGTCGATGTTCGACAGTTTTTGAGCTTTTACTTAAACAATTCCACTCAAAACCCAGCACCTCATCAACCAACAGTTTTAGCTTCTTAGTTGAATATCAGAATTATCTTATCTAGGCTACAAAATCTAGTGAGGTCTATTTATAAACACATTATAATTACTTTATCCTCTCTTACAAGTAATAGTAATAGTCAATATATTCGGATCCATTATTTGACTTAGTACGTAGTATGTCATTTGGTCTTAGTGGAAATTAGTATTTACTTTGTGAAACTTTTTAACATGAAAATCATTTCAAAAAGCTCCTTGGACTGGGGCATATTGTGGATTTTGGATAATATTGGGCGACAGATTTCAAATTCACTAGAGGACACAATCGTAAAAAATAATTAATTTGAATTGTTATTACAATACAATAAAAGTCGAAGAAAAGTTAAAGTACCATTCGGGTAGTCGTTTATTTGATAAATTTTCCATTTAACGTATAAATTAGTCGAAGCATTAGTATAATCGGTCTGTTAGGTAGAGATCACATCGTTTTTTTAACCATTCTTAATGAACCATTTGAAAATCTTAATATCCATTTATCCCATTAAATAATTACAATTGTCCGATAAGGGATAAAAAGTTGAGGAATGTCATCTGGATTCCTGGCAACCCTTTTTCTTCCTGCCGACGGCCTCCATTATCCCTGGTTTAGGCTTTATCGGCCAGAACGGCGTTCCCATCCAATGGATAAGTCTTTACTTCACCGGAAGCTTATGCGCAGTGAAGTCCGTGTACTTAGATAACCCTAATGGCGTACCCTTATCGTGTAACTGTTTATATAAAAATTCCTCCATCAAGTGCACATCGTGTTTATGACCCATGTCATCAATTCGTACTCAAAAGGCGAATAAACAATTTTCACTTGGTTTTTGCCTCGTTTCCTTAATAAAATTAAGTACGGTTAATGTCTATGGATCTGTCACTTTCTATTCTGTTTTATTCTGTCAGCCAGTTTCGATGGGCAAAATTCAAATTGTGAGAAATACGCTGGCAAATAATTTCAAAAAGTGTGAAAGATCGGAGGAGGATCGAATTCCGAGCTGGTCCACTTTGGTGATATTTTATTCCTACTCGTTCTTCATTATTCGACCAGTTCGAAATTATCCTGTTCGATTAGGCGAATTGAGTTTTTTGAGTCGAAATTTAACATTTGTTCAAACTAAAACTAACAATCGTACTTGATGTGTGATGTTGATTTTTTACGTGCTTATTAGGTTTTACCGAAAAGTTGGAATATGAAATATGAAAAGACCAACAGGGTCTGACTCTATTATAAATACCTTCGTTCCCCTACTAATTAAAGAGTAATAACTACAGCGTTTAACTATAGAACTGTACAAATCGAGGCGAATAAATTTAGCAGGGCTAATACGAAGATTGAGTGTAATGTGTGTGTGTGTCAAGGGTCTAATTAAGGAGCCCGGTGTAGCTGGCATAAATCAAACCAGGGTGGTTTACAAAAGGGGAATGCCAGAGGGATGTCTTTTACACCAATTAGAAAGGTAACATTTCTTCTCTTGAAAATTTAAACCCCGGACGGAAATAGTTTACAAATACGGTTGCACTACAAAATCTGAGTTTTTTTTTGCGACCTCTTGCTTCTTTCTTCCATGTGCTGAAAGTAGAACTAAATTTACCTGATATTGAAGGGTAGGCGGAGTATGCTGCCGCTGCAACTGCAGAGGCGGTGTCGAGATGGTGGGCGGCTGCAGGGTCGTGGAGGCGGTGCTGGGGGTGCCAACTTGCCGCCTCTTTGTACTGATGAGCTGGTAAAAGGAGGCCCCCGCCGTACTGCATGTTGTGCTGGTGGTATTCGTGTACCGCTCTGCAAATGATAAAAACAAATAAGGATCGTCAGGGAATCAAGAATGAAGAGGACTTTTTCACCTTTGCGTTATATTTGTAGAATTAAATAGATAAACTGATTGTTTATTTAACGTTTTATTCCGACAGCTACTGCAACTTGTACCGAAAGTGAAAAGATTCCCGTGAGAAGTCCCCCGGATGACATGGGTATTTGTAATCTCGTACGTAAATGGTGGCGACTACAAGAGTTTAGGGAGTCGTTTTTGTCTCAACCCTTCAACAGGATTTATGGCCGGCCTCAAATCCTACCTCTTTTATCGGAAATTACTAAAAAAAAGAAAAATAAAAAAGAGAAAAAAGCCGGTGGGATTTATACGCCGACCTAGGTATATATTCCGGGGATGGAAAGTGAAATCTCAACTTGGGATCTGGATCTTTGTCCGAAAGGTTTGGTTAATTGGGGGTCAACGAGGCTCGGTTCAATTTTTTTTTGTTTTTAAATAAGTATTTATTTTATTCTTACAAATTAAAAACCCATTGGATTATACGACCATGGATAGTAATAAAACGATGAGCTATATTCAAAGCATGTGAAAATGCTGAGAAACTACTTTCAAACAATCGTTCGTGAGAATTCTTCTTCTATGGGTTCTTCTGGTCTCGCGGATTTTTATTAATCTGGTCTCAGCCATATTTTGTCTACGATAAGAGTCTAGATAAAAATATTCTCAAGGAATTTTGAATTTTTTTAATCCTCGATACGGTTTAAAAAAATCAGATTGAAACTGCAGAGATCCACGTTCTCCAGATCTCTTACTCAAACACCATCAGATATTTTTATCATATGGCGAAAATTTGGCCAACACAAAAAAAGGTATCTTGGAAAAAGTTTGAATTTTGTCGACAAATTTGGCAAGACAGAGGGATTCCATCTGGAACTTCTGAATACACTGCTTCCAAACACACTTTTTGATAGAATTCTTCGTATCCGGGTACGCCGAGGCTCGTTACTTAAAATCTATGAGATACTTTTGCCTCAGATGGCGAAAATTTGGCCAACAAAGAAAGGTATCTTGGAAAAAGTTTGAATTTTGTCGACAAATTTGGCAAGACAGAGGGATTGCGTCTGGAACTTCTGAATACACTGCTTCCAAACACACTTTTTGATAGAATTCTTCGTATCCGGGTTCGCCGAGTCTCGTTACTTAAAATCTATCAGATATTTTTGCCTCAGATGGCGAAAATTTGGCCAACAAAAAAACGTATCTTGGAAAAAGTTTGGCAAGACTGACGGATAAAATTTGTAACTTGTGAGAAATATCGATTTCAAACATTCTTTTTTATAGAATTAATTAATTCTTTGACCATGGGTTCAAACCACTCACCTATTTGTATTAGTCTGACGTTTTTGACTAGTCATACATATTTTGTCTACGATAAAAGTATAGATAAGAAACATTCTCTTTTGCCCATGAATGTGGGTAAAAAATTAGATGGAAATTACAGAGAAATTACGCTTCCGAACTTTTCTTTATGTAACATTTTGCGAATCCGGGTTCACCGGGTCTTTATGACTTAAAATCTATCAGATATCTCCCTCAGATGGTGTAAATTTGGCCAACCAAATAAAGTCTCTTGAAAAAGTTAGAATTTCGTCAACAAACCTGGCAAGACAGATAAATTTTTCCTACGATACGAGTCGTAGACTGAAATTGCAGAGAAATTACGCTTTCGACCTTTTCTTTATTTAACATTCTGCGAATCCGGATTCATCGGCTCTGGTGACAAAATCTATCAGATATCTCCCTCAGATGGTGTAAATTTGGCCAACCAAAAAAAGTCTCTTGAAAAAGTTAGAATTTCGTCAACAAACCTGGCAAGACAGACAAATTTTTCCTACTATAAGATTCTAGATTAAAAAAAAAAACTTCTCTTTTGAACCAAAACTTTTGAATTTTATCCCCAATGAGGATAAAAAACAGATTGAAATTGCTGAGAAATTACGCTTAGGAGCTATCTATTATTTAAAGTTTTTCAATTCTGATTTCGAAAATTTGTCCAACAAAAAAATGAACCTTGAAAAAAATTTGAATTTTGTCGAAAACTTTGACAGACAGATGTATCAAATCTTCAACTTGTAAGAAACGCCGTTTTCGAACACCCTTTTTGATAGAAGTGTCCGACTATGGGTCTTCTTGGTCTCGCTGGTTTATTATTCTGATGCTACCAAACCGCCATATTTTGTCTACAATAAAAGTCTAGACAAAAACCTTCTATTGTGTTCAAAAGGTGGAATTTTATCCTAGTAAAAAAAGGTTTAAGGCAAATGATACACATTGATAATGAATGAAAAAATCTAAATTAAACTGCAAACAATTGATTGTTAAATAATAGTAAACTTGGAAAAAGCTTAAATATAGCAAATAAGTTTTTATAGTAGACACTTTTTAAATTATTGTTATTATATTATTTCTTTTTTGCCTTGCAATTCTCGACTAAGAACATAGTAAACATAATTTTATATTAACTTAAAAATCTCACTGGCACTCTCAACACGACACACAAGAATGGCACAATTACAAAGAAAACAAAGACTCTGAGTGAGTAGAAATACTTTGATTGATATAAAAAATATATTTTGCATTGTATAAATTCACTTTTCCACATCCTAAATGTATTTGTTAAATGTAAACAATGTTTGTAAATCCGAGGCCCTGAAGATGATCTCAATAAAGATCGAAACGTTGGCACGGTAAAGAAAATGTTTTCCTGAAACCTACATCACACCAGACCGCATCTCACGATTTCTGAATAATTATCGATTAACGGGCACTAATCACTACACTTTAATATTGGTAAATAAATAAATGGAGGCACGGCTGAAACCTACATGGATTTTTTAACTCTGGGTTCACCTGTTCCCTTCTTCATCAGAATGTCGGCTAACTTTATATTAGAAAAAAATGACTTTAAGATTGGTAAGGAGAGAAAGAATTTATTTTTGATTGTGATATAATTGAGATGTCAGGCGCACAAAAGAGAGATTGCGAATTGATATTGTTTTTACCGACTTAACCAACTACGAAACGTCGATATAAAAGGAAAAACGGCGACTTTCAGCCAGAACGAGTATCGAAGGTTTGCACGTCATTTGTTTGGTGGTCAAACTGGCCGATGTAATTTGTAGTCGGCGGTTTCACCCCCTTTTTCTACTGGCCGACCAATGATCTCGTCCTTTGTAAATTCTTCACCAAGGATTTCAATATCTGGTTGCAGAAACGGCGTTGCTTGACCACTTTTACACGCTGACTGGGGAACAATTTGTAGAAAATAGCACAAAGTCCTACTAAGAAAGAAGAAGAAAAAGTTTAGAAGAAATTTTGATTCTTGAACGACAAATTATATATCTATTTCATTGCAATTCCATAATTGTTTAATCCATTATTTTCTAAGATCACATGATTGTAATTGTGAGATTATTCTTGAACAGCATGGTCGTTCTTTTCCGGACATTCTATTACCACTAACCTTTTTTATTATCAAAAAGCCTTCTCCAAACATTTGACATGGTCATTATCTCTGTTTCAGTCGCATGACAATTCGTTAAAATGGTTAGTCTTACTAGTGAATAAATAATTCAACGTAGTAAAGTAAATTTGGAGTGCTGGAGTCTAATCTTTATAAATGACCATCCGGTTTTACTGCTACACAATTTTTGTTTTATGGAGATTTCAAAAATCGTCTAAGTATACAGTGACTCTCCTTTTGTTGCAATCTACTGATAAACTTAGTTTCTCGGGTCAAATTAATTTTTTAACTTTAAACATTATATATTTTAAATGTTCTTTTTATGTAACATGAAAAAAGGGACCGTATAACCCTCATATTAACCGTGCACAATCAAAAATGAATTAATTCTAAAATCATCACGTTTGCAATTATTCAAGAATTATGGTCTTTCTGTATACGATAAACAAATTATTGGGTATTTTATTAGAAGATATTTTTATTATAATTTTTATATTTTATTGTACTACATTTTTATTAATCTTTCTTACTTTGCTTTTACTTATTAAAAACATATTAATATTGACTATTTACAGACCAGTTTTACAAGACTTTTAGAAAATATTTTTAAAAAATTTTATACGGATCAAATACATATGAACATAACTAGAAAAAGACAAATTTTAATGGTAAAGTTTAACCTAAAATAAAAAAAGAATAACAATTGAAAAAGTTGAAATTAAAATGAAAAAGTTGCATATTAGATAGAAATTTCACTAATTTCGTGGTCCGCTTGACGAATTAATATATTACAATCAATCTTAACTAAAAACCTTAATTGATTGTTAGATAGAAAAGTTCAAATTACACCGCAAAAGTGAAATAATAAATGTAAAAGGCGAAATTTATATAGAAAAAAATTAATACAAAAAGGAAAAGTTTAAATTAACGAGAAAAAAGTCGAATATTAAAAAGAAAAGTCTAAATTATAAAGGAAAAATATAATATAAAATGGATAATTAAAAATTAAAATGGAAGAAATTGAATAATAAATGGGAAATTAGAAATTAAAGAGGAAAAAGTAGAATAATAAATATTAACGTCGAAATGAAAATGGAAAACAAGTAATATTAAATGAACTGAAAAGCAAAACTCGAATGAAAACGTTTAAATTAAAAAAGAAAAAGTTCAATAATAAACGCAAAAGGAAATTAAAATAGAACAAAGATTGATATTAAATAGAAATGTTGAAATTAAAATGAAAACACTGCATAATAATTGTAAAGGTTGAAATTAAAATAGAAAAAGTTTAACATTAAATGAAAAAAACGAAATTAAAATCGAAAAAAGTCGAATATTAAATGGAAAAGTTTAAATTAAAAAGGAAACAGTTGAATATAAAATGGATAATTAGAAATTAAAACGAAAAAAGTTGAATAGCAAATTATTTCGATATAAAAACGGAAAGAAGTTTAATATTAAAATAAATTTAAAAAAAATCCAAAAAGACGTTTAATATTAAATAGAAAACTTTAACTTAAAATTAAAAAAGTCGAATAATAAATGGAAAAGTCTGAAAATTGTAAATGTTTATTTATTGTTTACCTATGTTTCAGGAGGAATATAAATTTCAATTTTGTAAAATTAATGTTTCATCATATTTTCGGAAACAACCACAAAGCAAATAAAAATATTTCATAATCGCGTCTAAAACCAGAAAACCAACCAAATTTATGCCATATAGTACCTTCCTTTCATAGGACAATGTCATGGAACACCTCCACAATTTTAATCATATAATTAATAAATCGTTACCTGTGGTGGTGGTACTGTTGGTAGTGGGAGTGCCATGGTTCAGAAGTCGTGGCACAATGGTACATACTAGGTTCTGCACCGTGGTACCCAGCGTCGCCGCTACTCGAGCTGCTGTTGGAATTGCTGTTCCAGAAGGACGGTGGGAAGTTCCTGGACGTCATTGGAGACCAGTCTGAAACACAACGAACAATTGAAAAAACAAGGGTCAGAACATGGAAGAATACATTTTTGATAAAGTTTAAAAGGATAAATGATTTTGTACGCGGATGGGGAGGTCGAATTTGATGAGATTGTGTGCCAAGAAAATCATAAAACTTTTCTCATTTTTCATCCAAAAGTAAAAAAAGGTCATATTTTTAAAATTTATGTTTTTACTATTTATTGATCTAAAGTTTTTAATATTAAATCTATTAGAGTTCGTGCTCCGATTGACCAAATAACTTTGTTCTATTAACTAATCTTTATGTAAGGTATTGGTTCAGATAAAAAAGTCAGTGTCATGAGCGGGATTCGAACCCACGACCCAGATGGGAAGTTGGTGTCGATAGCTCAAGTGGTAGACCAGCGGCGTATTTAGCCTATTTTTTTTTTTACTCAACCAATACCTTCCATGAAGATTAATTAATTGAAAAACGTTTTTAATATTGTGGACTTCAGCTATTTGTTAAGTAAATCTATTATTTAGGTTCTTACAAGTAAATCCTTATTCGTTTTACCTTTTTGATAAATTTACATATATTTTATGTTTTTTCTTATATATTAACTGTTCTGTTGACTATAACATTACATAAAATGTATTTATTTAATATATAATATATTGAGTTTTTTTTAAAGGACGGTGTAGGAGGTAATGGTTGCATTTTGTAAGTTGTAAGTCAGACTTTGCATTTTAAATTGTGGTTTGTTTCCATTTTAAAATAAAAATTTCATTATTTGGAGTTTTAAAGTGAGAGGAGCTTTTTGCAGAACCGTCACGTTTTCGACCGGAACGGTTGGACTTTCCTTCCCCACAGAGGGGCCGGCCTGACTGCAATTATTTCGGAATGCCGGGTGTCTTTTTTTTCTTTTTCTTTGTCGTTTTCTTCTCTTTTCCCTCTTCTGTCCCGAGACGAACCGCCATTGCTCTTCGCCGAGGCAATTTTCCCCTCTACCTTTTGCTCGGCGAGTTCCTCCACTTATCGGGACGTCCATCTCACAGCGTGCCGAGCAGAAAACGCTTACATTTTCTAAAAAGCCGTTATCATTTTGTACTTACGAGCCTGCTTATCAAGGCGATCAAACACGACAGTTTATACCGCTTGTAATATATAAACAACGTAATATATTTCAAATTATATTGTCAAGAATTTTTTTCTATTAAATAAACTCGTAACAATACAGTTTATCTTATAATCCATTCGCATATATTTATATATTTAAAAAATATGGAAAAGTTTCTATGCTTAAACAACAATTAGAACATACAAGACATGGAGAATGATTTTAGTGAGATTTTTACAACTCTTAGGCCAAAGATTTTGCCAATTCTTTCATTTTATTTCGCTTTTCTTATATATGTTTTAGCCTAAAAAGGAGTTGATTGAATAACTCTGGTCCGCCTGGCCTCGCTATTATTTCCTCATTCCAGACGTTTCATAGGACAATTCCTTCAGACGATTTGACATTGTAATCACCTCACACGGTTAAAAGTACGAAGTGAGGTTCTCTGGTGATAAACGGATAGTGACCCGAACAGCGGAGGGCACCATGAATCCAAAAATTTCGAAGAATTCGAACAATGGCGTTTGGAATTCTTGTTCCCGAGCGCCACCGTTTTTACACCAGGAGCGAATCCTCTTTTTGTCTTGAGGAGGAAGACGGCCTTCGAGTTTTGCCCCAGTGACACCGACGAATATAGAATTTCCCACGGGCTAGATAGGCTCCAGAAAAGAACGCTTTGATAAATATTATACTAGAACTACTCTTTTTGTCTAACATGCCAAGCTAATTGAAACACTGTAATAATATAGTCGCCTTATCGAAAACCTACTGGTGTGAGCGTCAACAGTTCCTGTAATGCCTATCTTTTTGACGGACACCAATTGCACCTGGACACCAAAGGATGTCTTGCACCATGTACCATCGATACAACATTCTATTTTTGACGGAGTTGTACACCAGTCGCATGTACTGTCAAATACCTTGACATGACATGAGTGAAATATATATTTCAAACATCTTCGGCATCATCTGTACACCGCCTTTATCGGGGGTCTTGAGTAAACATAACAGAACCTAAGCATATACTTCAGACCAATTACCATCGATTTCATCCTAAATTGACACCGTTCAAAATAAATAAATGAGTGATAAAACTAGGTGCTGACAAATAAATAAATCGTTAAAAATAAGTATAGTAGAAATAAGGAGGGAAAATTCAAAATATGGGGTTGAGATGGGAAGTTAGTGTCCGAGTGGATCGAGGTCACGATAGCTCACGTGGTAGAGCAGCAGCGTATCAAGCCGAAGATCGTGGGTTCGAATCCCGCTCGTGCCAATGATTTTTTATCTCAACTGAAAACCTTAATTAATTGTTAAAAATAAGATTTTTAGATTGATTTACTACCCCAGCGTCAGAAATAGTATACAGAGTGTTCGGCTACTCGTGTTACAAACTTTGCCAGAAGATTCTACATTCAAAATGGAACCAAAAAGTCCCAATTAACTATGGTCCGAATCTCAACAGTTTCGGGGTTATACCCCTTTTTCTGATTTTTTAACATTTCACGACCTTGTTTGAAATAAACAACGATAACTCCAAAACTGAAAGGTTTTGGACAAATCCGTGGATACCATTGACAAGTACGTTAAATTATTTTTTTTTTCAAAGTTGGTGAACTTACTATGGTCAGTCTAAATTGTTATTGTTATTTCCAAACCTAAAGACCAGTAAATTTAAGAAAACGTACGCCATTTAATATCCTTTTTAGTGGCATAAATGCTTTTTTAATTACTTTTTCAAAGATGAAGCAATTGATGAAGGATAGGAAAAAACCGTGGCTTACATATTGGTGGAAAGATTAATAATAATAAAAAATAAAAAAAACTTAAGGAAATTTTGAATAAATTTATTAAACGTCGTAAAACTCTTTTATTCCTGGGAATAATAAAATAATCCTTTAATCAAAGTTGCAGCCGGTTGATAAATAAGTAAACACTTGCACCTTTTTTTCGGTTTCGAGTCTAAATTAATCAAAACATTTAATAAATTTATTCAAAATTTCCTTAAGTTTTTGTTTTTTAATCTTTCCACTTTACCAATCCGTCAACCAGGGTGTTTCCTTCAATTTCTTCATCTTTGAAATATAATTTGAAATTAATAAAGCAATTACACTACTAAAAAGGATATTAAATGGAGTACGTTTTCTGAAATTTGCTGGTCTCTACGTTTGGAAATAATAGTTTAGAATGACCATAGTAAGTTTTATGTTTAGGTAATTTTTTTTCTTAATGTTCTGGCTACTAAAACGCTTATTTCACTAACGTTTACATGTTTAGACTTGATCACATCTTTTTGGATATTTATCGAGGTTTTCAATAATATCATCGGATTTGTTCAAAACCTTTCAATTTTGGAGTTTTCATTGTATTTTTGAAACAAGGTCGTGAAATTTTAAAAAAATCAGAAAAAGTGGAATAACTTCGAAACTGTTGAGATTCGGACCATAGTTAATTAGGACTTTTTGGTTCCATTTTGAATGTAGAATCTACTGGCAAAATCTGTAACACTAGTAGCCAAACGCCCTGTATAGAAGGAACTGGACTTGTCCAGAGTCAGTGAGATTCTTCAGACCATGCGCCATCGACATAACCTTTCCTTCAACTCTCATTCAATTTCAATATATACAAACAATAAAACTAAAAGAAAGATTTTTACACACTGCACTATTTTGGTATGGCAGTTAGATTTGGTGGTTTCACACAATCTGCCCAACTGTTGCAGTATTGTCCTCTTTCTTTGGACTGTGTATTCCCAGTTCTACAGATTTATTTATGTCGAGACTAGCTTCTTCGTTTCAACACTTCTTCCATCTAAGAGTTTTCGGTCAAAATGGAATTCAGGAAGCGAACGTTTCGAAATCATTCTCCAATTCCGAATTTCAGCCTCCGGCTTGATCCACTTGTCAAATAAATATTACATCAGACGAGTCTGTTTCTTGAGAAAACGAAAACAAAACAAAAATTCCAGGCTATTTGTCCCAACAATCCGGACTATCCCGACCGGTTTTTCGTATGTTTAAAATTTGAAATGAAGACGCACGACAACCTAAGTCCCAAGCCGACAGAGAGTCGTCGTTAGCGGTTTTGTCAACAAAAACTGTGTATAATTTCTTGTATTTGTTTTAATCCAAACTAAGATCATTTTTTCTCTTTTATCATCTTGATGATGTGACATTTGGTTTATGAGTAATTTCAGCAAGCACCGAAAGTGAGTGTTAAAATATCAAACAAAAACCTCGTCTGAAAACATCGTGATAAAAAACCAATTTTAAAAATAAAAATTGATTTGTAGCATTATCTACGTTTAAAATGTTGAACAAAAATATCGATATTCACAATATACAACAAAACCATCGATATCCAAAACCGATTTTTATAAAACAATCTCAAACACCGATATTAAGAATTCGATTTTCCAAATATCGCACGAAAACTTTGTTAAATCATCTTTTTTAAAAAAAGCCCATTTTTTTTAAAGTCGACAGGAATACTGGTAACAATGAACGAAATGTTTAAAATGTCGAATTATAACTTAGTTATTCATAATAACGACATGAAACATAGATGTTTAATTCATCGATATTAAGAAATCGATTTTCCAAATATCGAACAAAACATCAATTTTTAATTCAACGATGTTAAAAAGTAAATTTTTTATTTTTTATTATGGGATGCAAAGTTTGACTCGTAATAAAAGGCTAATGTTTCAAATATGGAATGAAAAGAACAATCGTAACAACGAGCGAAAGAATCGATATTTAAAAGTCAATCAATCACATCAATGTTAAAAATCGATTTTTTAAATATTGAACGAACAATTGGATTTGAAAAACAGTCCATTTTGTTCTTAGATATTTGGCAAAATTACTATTGAATAACGATGATTTAAATATCGAAGTTTTAGCTTGTTAT